TACCAGAGCACTTCATTAAAAATAATAATAATAATAATAATATCATTTTTACTTCAACTGTTTAATTCATATGTCCATTTTAATTCTTTCTTCTACTTACCAATTTGTATATTGTTACAAATTTATATGTCATTACTATTTATAATTCTGTGGTTTCGCTTTTAAAATTCCATATATGCATGGCCTTCAACTGAATTCATGTCATAATACAATTAATCATTTACCTACTATAAATATATGTTTTTCCAGTATTTTAGCTTAGCCTATATAAATATTTAATGCTGAACATTTAGCATCCATAAGTAACAGTATGTAAATATTTAGCATATACAAATATGCTAAAAATTGAAGTTCTGCTCTTTGGAATTCCAAGCAATGGAGTTAAAGAGTTAAAGCATATAAAAATTCAAGTCTCTTATACATATATGACCATATGGTTTTCCAAAGATCTTAAACTAATCTATATGGTCATGAACAATGCATGGCCATGTCACTTGTCCCATATATCGCATATGACTTTATTAGTTCATATAAGAAATAGAGAACCTACTAAGTGAATGAGACACAAATGCACTTAGGATACTGTAGGTGTTTGAAATTTCTGCAGCAGCAAAAATGTACCTTTTATATATTTTTTAGAATTTATAACAGTTCAAAAGAATGTATATGAGTTTAATATTTATGTAACATTCTTAAAAATTTTTATGTAATACTCTTTTATGTAATATAATTCAATTTCACACAGTTTTTATTGTATCATTTTCATAATTTTTAAGTAAATATTACAGTTATGTACTTTATAATGGTAGAAGTGCATTAGGCTTTGGATTGCTAACTGAAAGGTCAGTGACTGGTTCAAATCCACCAGCCACTCCACTGTAGAAAGATGAGACTGTCTGCTCCCTAAATATTTACAGCCTCAGAAATCCTGTAGACAGTTACTATGAGTTGAAATCAACTTGATGGCCGTAAAGTGTTTTTTTGTGTGTGTTGGGGGTTTTTAGGCTATTGTTTTTATATGTTTTATATTGTTTTATTGTATCTTATAACTTAAACATCTACTTTTAAAGATTGTACACTAAACTTTGACCAGTATATTAAGGGCATGATCGAGGCAGTGTCTGGCCTCCTCTAACTTTGTGAAGAGGAGAGAGAATCATTCAGCATCAGTTCTAAACTGATTCTTATGAGACAGAAGGAAAACATACCTTCTTTCTCTAAACAGATTGTTAGTAAGCCTGACACCAGCCTCCCTCCCTCAGCACTGTCTACTACTATGATGCTGGATTCAATAATTTAATGAACTCAATAATTCTGTGTTGCAACGCCATAAACAACTCACAGACAATACTCATGATTATGGCCTTTATTAGGGAAGTAACAGGCTACAATTCAGAATCAGAAATGACTCAGGATATAGTTCTTCACTCAGGACAGCCTCTTCTCAGCCAGGCTCACAGGTAGCCCTTGGGCCTCTTGGACCATGCCCTGCTCTAACAAGTGTTATAAAGCTCATTAGCTCCACCAGTATGTTCCCAAAGGCACCTTATTCCACAAGTCTTGACCCAAAGGTAATTAGCTCTCTTATTCAAAGGGTTGGCAAGCCTAGTCATGCCAAATGTCTGGCAGCTCCCAACCTCTCTAGCAAAACCATTGCCTAAAGACAGCCAACTGTCTCCCTCCATGGGCAGGAAGCCCAGTGTACAATCTCCTGCCAATCTTCTTGTTCTGCAACCACTGTTGATGCAGTTCTCTGCTGTTGCTTCTGTGTTACAGTTTTCTCCCTGTCCTGGGTCTAGGAGCTTTTCTGTGCATGGATTCTGAGTCCTAAAGAGACACTCCACTCCTAGACCTCCTGTCTTTGTGATAGTGACTCCCCGGCCTCACTACTGTCTCTCTCCTTTTATCTCTTGTAAGATAAAAAGTACAACTCCAGTAAGAGCATGACTTGAATAAAAGTGGTGAGAGTGGTAACTGGAATAAGGGTGGTGATTTGGGTCACATCTTCTAGTAAGACAGTGAGTGATTCAGGATACATCTCACCCTAATCCTACCTCATTAGCATAACAGACAACTCATTCCAAAAATGGAACCATAACCACAGTCATAGAGGCTAGAATTTATAATACATCCAAAATGGAGGATAATTACCTCAAATCACAAAATAGAGATAACCACACAATACTGAAAATTATGGGCTAGGCAGATTGACATACTTTAGAGGACATAATATAAAAATGTTAGAAGTCACAAAGACAATAGCTTCAAGAGTCATAGTAAGTATTTACTGCAGCACACCAGCATAGGCTATCAAGACTGATAAGAAGAGGGCAGACAGATGCAAGAACACCCACACTTGCAGATGATACCCACTTGACCTGGTTTCAATGACTGGATGGACAGAGCTCAACCCAAAGAAGAAAGAAGAGGAAAATTAAAAAAAAGTGTCATCTGATACAACTTGATAAACTTGACCTGCCCCTATAAATGCAGTAGCTCAAAAGAGGAAACA